GCTGCAGGCTCAGCCGTCGCGAGAACGTCGACCGGTCGCCTTCGCTTCGCGGTCAATGACAGACACCGAGCAACGATACAGTCAAACGGAAAAGGAGGCATTGGCGACGGCGTGGGCCATCCAGCGGTTCGACGAGTTCGTTCGTGGTATTAACTTCGACTTCTGCGGCCACCCGCGCTGGCAAAAGGAGATCAGTGCACTGCTGCCTGTCAGCTTGAAGACCTTACGCGCTGAGGAATTCCATGGCGAGCGAAGATGCTCTTGATCACGTCGATGACAACCTGAGCTGTCGTGCTTCTTAGCGTTACCACCTCTGGGAATCGGGAGTAGTAGTCCACCACCAGGATGAAGGTTTGTCCGTTGAGGTGGAATAGGTCCATGCCGAGCATTTCCCACGGACGACCGGGGAGAGGGGTGGAGACCAGCGGCTCCGACAGGTTCACACGAGTGGAGGCGCACTGTTCACAATTCGTAACCATGGAAGTGATCTCCGCAGTTATGCCTGGCCACCATACCGATTCTCGAGCCCGGGCTTTGCTACGGTTAATTCCCAGATGTCCCTCGTGCAGCAACGTCAGCACTTGCAGCCTCAGTGAAGAGGGGATGACTAAGCAGGCACCCTTAAGAAGAACACCGTTGCAAATAGATAGTTCATCCATCACGGCAGCATACTTTCCGAGATGCAGCGGTAACTTTGACTTCTGCGGCCACCCGCGCTGGCAAAAGGAGATCAGTGCACTGCTCTCGCCATCAGAGCATTGTGCTTTCCTCACATCCTCCAAGCTGACAGGCACTTCTGCGGCCACCCGCGCTGGCAAAAGGAGATCAGTGCACTGCACTCGCCATCAGAGCCTTGTGCTTTCCTCACATCCTCCAAGCTGCTGTCAACTACCTCTGTGGCGAAAAGTTCCACAGTGTCCAAAGGACAGGGTGCCTTTTGAGGAATCCGCGACAAGGTGTCTGCTGTAGCCAGCAGCTTTCCAGGCACATAGAGCATCTGGAACTGATAGGGCATAGTCTTGAGCCTGAGTCTCTGTACCCGCGGAGGTAGCATGTCAAGCTCCATCTTTCCAAACAGCGAAACAAGGGGCTGGTGGTCCGTCTCCACGTCGAAGTTAATACCACGAACGAACTCGTCGAACCGCTGGATGGCCCACGCCGTCGCCAATGCCTCCTTTTCCGTTTGACTGTATCGTTGCTCGGTGTCTGTCATTGACCGCGAAGCGAAGGCGACCGGTCGACGTTCTCCCGACTGGGCCGCCCCCTGCCACTGAGCCGGTCCCGGTCCCAACCGACAGCGACGGTGTTGTGCGAATTCGTAGTGGCCGAAGTCTTGTTCGGCCGACTCGTTTAAATTTGTGAAGTTTTATGCAGTGGGCTTCCTCCATCTTTCATCTTTCATAAAGGGGGAGATGTAGAGGTCGCCACCTATTTACTTCGTAAATAGTCTGCCGCATTCCTGTGGCGCCCCCTCTCGCTGTGCTTACTTGTTGTCGCTTGATTAAATGCATTCCTCTGTTGTGTTCTGAAATGTGTCGGTCGCATCCTGGCTCGCTACACCCTGTCCTCACGGTACGGGCCCTCAATCCATCAAACGAAAACAATCGAGATGATAACATTCAGTTGATGCCTCATGAGCGTTAATTTCCGATAGTACAAACATATCAACGTGGGCGATGACATCTCTTATCAAAAAACAGAACTGGTCCCAATATTTTCTAATGCTGCGAATATTTACGTGTACCACAGTATATGTGATGCAGGCGCTAAGTGCGAAATTACTCTTAAGGCTTGGAAAATTGAATGGCCTACAAAAAGAAAACTAAGACGAAGCCATCAAGTTACATTATTTTTTCCAGGTCAGCGTGTCGGTAGATTCGGATGGGACGGCCTTTCTCGTCTGTCTTCGCGGAGATGTTGCCGCCCTAGAATAATAATTCAACGTGTATTATTCGTTTTCTGTTATTCAACGGGAAACCAATAATACTACTACTAATAACCATATTTTATTGACCATTCAAAATGTAGGGGTTACTGTGTCCGTGAAAGCCTACAATGGCTTGTGGGACGGGGACCCGGGAAATCGTCGAAAAGGAGTAACAACCTGGAAGCTTCGAGAAACCTGCTCACACACCCCTTACTCATAGACTCCCCCCCCCTCCACACGCACACACATACAGAGAAACTATAAATTACAAAATATTCAGAAGTATATTTTATAAATATGTATCATACAACACAACCGAACACAAAAAGAAAACTACGCTGAGTCTGCGATAACTGAACGCAGCCATTTTCTAACTTTTGGAATCATGCGAAAAGACTGTGACAGGAAGACAATTAAAAACAGCTGGCACATAATAAGCTCGTGTTCTCCTCCCGTACCTAGTGAAATAACGCGGTGTTTCCAAACGCTCGGTCTGCCTGAGGTTGCGAGATTGCATTTTTAGAAACTTAGAGTTATCAGTCCAAAAATCTTGAAGTGCCAGAGCTTTTTTTAGCAATGAATAGAAATCGGGCATTCCCAGGTCACGGAAAGTATTAGTACTATCTGTGAAAATCAAATTTGTAAGCAACACTTTTCAAGATAGATTTGAAAACACTATCTACTCTGGAGTGCCACTGCCCTGAACTATGTGCGAACATAGTCAATCCTTGCCTCAGAACACTCTATGCTTGGGCGTGAGCCAGCATCTTATTAACATGAAAGGACAAAAAAGCTTTATATTGTACAATATACAAGCCTACATTTCGCAAGACACGGCATAGGTGACCCAACCGCACGTTTCATGAGAAATCGAATTCGAAAATGCGGCCCATGTATTTAGTGTCGTCAGCCCCCTCAAAAGAAATACAGTTGCATCCTGCGTAGTCTGCGTCATGCTAGAAAGAATGCTTGTTTATAAACCCTTCCTTCAATGGGTTTCGAAAACATGTCAGACGAGTTTTGGCTAGATTAACCTTTAAGTGATTGGAGGCATACCAGTCTATACCTTTATTAGCACTTGATTGTAATATGGGGGGATCGGTGGCCGAGTGGGCTGAAGCGCACACCCAGCTCGCCGCGCGTGGAGCGAAAGCTCGCGCTGCAGAACCCAGGGATCCTGGGTTCGAGCCCCACCCCTGCCCGTTTCGATCTGGATGAGCATCGTACCGGCGTGCGGTCGTGTATCACTACTGCGTGAGCACGTTAAAGACCCCAGGTTAGCAGTCGTACTGCACTGGCAAAATTGCTCATCTACAGTGTAAACCAGTGTCGCCTCATCCTGGCAGACCAACCTTACACTGTATAAACACTAAACGTCCAATTTGACTTTTGACTTTGATTGTAATATGTTTAGTGCGCTTTCAAATATGTGTCGAGAAATCAGTAAAGTATCGTCGGCGTATAGGTAACATGAACGTTGGGAAATAGCAGAAGAAAGGTCGTTGACGTGAATGTGAAAAAAAACAAAGGCGATACAAAAAGACACCCGCTCAAAGATAACAAGGGGCGCTCGTTTGTTGACATGCTCGCGCTCGCTGCGATCGACCAGATGAAAGGTCCGAGAGCAGTTGAAAAAAAAAGGCCCGCGGAAGCCGTAGTTAAACGGTTTACTCGGCAGAATAGAATGATTCACCGTTTCAAATGCTTTGGAAACGCCTAAGAACAGGGCACAAAAAAAAAAACGTATTGTCAAGGGACGCAAAGTGCAAATAATCGGCGACGTCATCTAAGAGCATTTGCGTCCCGTTCCCGAAACGAATCCGTATTGCGAATCAAGCAACAAGAGGTAATTGTCCAGAAAACTACTCATAATCCGGAAAATAGTGTTTTTCTGGAGGTGTCCCAAAACCGGCAATTTAGATATAGGACGAAAGTTTTCCACACTCGTCGGTTTGGAGCCTTTAAAACCCGTCCACACAATAGCAGTTTATAACTCTTCCGGAACTGATCAAAACCAAATAAAACTGCTCATCATAGAAAGAAGCACGTATTTTAAGAAGCTAAAGTTCATTTGAAGAAACGTGGCTGTGACTCCGTCAGCCCCAGGAGACCTAGACCATTTTATACTCAATAAAGCCGACCACAAACCTTCCTCATCCATGTCGCACGAAAAAGCAGACGCACTATTTGCCTCATTCAAGGTCACCTCCTCGACGAGTTTACTTACTGATTGCTCAGATGAAGTTGCAAAAAAAGGTTTAAGTTTTCCACAACAGTTGAAATATTATCTACAAAATGTTTAACTATCACGTCATCAAGGGAGTGCTGGCATTGATAGCCTTAAAGCCCATCTCCTACAGACCAGGTTTGTGCGGTGTTTGAACGACTTTCCGAGAACTTTTCTTGAAAATAAATTCGTCTGGCAGATTGAACAACAGCATTTACCCTGTTTCAAGCCTCACAAAACTCTGCTCGTAGTTTAACATTTTGGGTGCTTTCTTACAACCGACAAAATAATAATAATGATGAGGATAATAATAATAATACTAATAATAATAATAATGATAATAATAATAATGATAATAATAATAATAGTAATAATAATAATAATAACTTGTATTCAAGAACATTGATGAAGGTATACAAGAGTGCGTGGGCGATCACATAAAAAAGCAGTTTCTGCCATACAGACAAAGAAACGGCTGAAGACGGTTACAAAAACAGGAAAAAAGCAAGATGACAATTATATTACATAGTTGACCCGTGCTAGACGTAAAATCATCAAGAAGCATAACCATTAGAAAAGGCGAACTTCTATCACTGCCTGCAGCAGTTTCATTGAGTTCGCATGCCGAATACGGAAGGCAACTTAATAAAGACATCAAATACATGAGATTCGCGTGTAGACCTTACGTATCGAGTCCGGGCTAAGGGAAGTTTGAAGGTCTCTTAAAAACGAACTGAACGAAGTGAAAGGTTTCTGGTTTTGAAATCATCTGTCCAAAAGTAGCGTAGGACAACAGTTTGAATAAATGGTACATGAAAGACATGCCTGTTTCAAACAGTGAAACAGGTGTGTACTTTCAGAAGTTTGCATGCCATAAGAAACGCTTTTTAATATATTTTTCAAAATACAATAAATTTGGTCGCGGCAGTAGACGGAGCAGTTTTCAAACACCGTAACCCCATATCTTGATAGCCTATATGCAAACACATCGATGAGTATTTTACATGGTAACAAAAGCACACGTGATATGTTGTTTTATCGCAGGCAACAAGCACAACTCAGTTTTACAGAAAGGGGTGCCAGTTGAGTACTGCAGGTTAAACTACAGTCGAAAAAAAATGCCAAGGTATTTTACACTTTCGACATGACACCATTGCAGAACAGCAAACGACAGAACAGCACGCGACAAAACAGCATGGTCAAAACAGCACCGCGTGAAAAAAGCACCGGGAAATAACAGCTCGCGTCAAAACAGCCTGCGACAAAGCAGCACGGCGTCAAAGCAGAAAAGCAACAGAAGAGCACGTGTCAAAGTAGCAAGCGGCAAAACAGCACAGTTAGAAAACGGCACGCACGTAAACGGATGCCTGTTTTTCACTGTAGGACACATTAATAGTAGCACGCGCCTAATTTAAGAACTTGCTGCTAATGTCTTCAGCAGAACACGTTTATTGCAGTTACATTTCCAATATCTACCGTTATATTACTTTATATTATTACCTGCGCCGTGATGCTTTACAACTTACTTATAGCTCTGTGTGCATGTTGAATAATATATGAAGCCTTCCCACTTCAAGCCGACTAAGCAAACTTTTTTCCGTCTTTTTAATGACTGATTGATTGTTAATACGTTAACGTTTTATATCTAAACAAATACGTCACCCTATTTCCCCAAAAGAGACGATGATCGACGGCCAAAGGGGATGAACTTATTGGGTTCAAAGCCTTTCGCGAAAATATCGCAAAGACTACGGAACGTCCGGTCCAGTATGACACGCAGTAACATAGACTTTCTCATAGACACTCTTATAGGCTGTCGCTTCTCTTACTGCATATAATCTATATGTAAACAAAAGTATATGTGAAATGAACTATTTTTTTAGGAGTTCCACTGAACTCGTCGGTTGTAATCTTCGTTCTTCCTTTGGGTAAATTGGGTGCCGCATTTGAATTGATATAAAACGTTAATCAGTGATTGATGAATAAGTCATGAAAAGAATCCAAAATATTTAGCTTCTTTTGCTCGCGGTGGGAATGTTTTATGTTACTGAACGTGCACAAAAAGCTATGCATAGCATGCATGTGACGTCTTTCGCGGCCATGAGAGTATTTTACGCGCGGCGAGCGTTCGGTTCGCCGTGTCAGTTTCACACCGCAGAGGTTGTAGTTCGGAGAAACCCGCAAGCAGAAATAGCCGTCAGGACCAAGCAATGGCGACGCTAGCAAGCTATGTATAAGTACGTAATAAAATATAACGGCGCAGGTAATAATATAAACTTAAACCATGGTAGATAATGAGATGTAACGACAAAACATATGTTCGGCTGAACACGTTAGCAGCAAGTACTTAACTTAGGCACGTGCTGCTAATATGTCATACAGCGAAAATTAGCATGCACTTATGTGCGTGCTGCTTTTTTGCGGTGCTGTTTCTTTTCGCGTGTTGTTTTGGCACGTGCTCTTCTGTCGCCCTGCTGCTTTGACGCCGTGCTATTTTGCCGCGTGATATTTTGCCGCATACTGTTTTGTCGCTGTGTTGTTTCGACGGGGTGAGGAGCACGGTAAAAACCGCCCGCGTCAAAACATCGCGTTTCCTTTCGACATATACTAAAGGAAGACATTTGCAAGATACACATTTTGAGTGATGTAAAAGAATGGGGAAATCCAGTGAAATAACTGTAAGGGGATTAGGAGACAAATTAGTCTGGTCTTGTTTACATTCATGTCCATAAGATTTTGTTGAACGTGATGATGATGAGAATAATAATAGTAAAAATAGTAATAGTAATTATAATAATTCAATTCAAATCACTGTTTATTTTCTTCCTTGCTTACCATAAGGTCAAATATCATTTCATTATCACTTAAAGTCACATATATAAATTATAGAAATTACAGAGAAGATACAAGCGAGGTGGTGAACTTTCAACATTGTAAGACCCGAAACGTAGGACGAAAGGAGAAGAAAAAAGGGAACAACACAGACACAGGTTGCGTTTCTAAACACGATATATTAGCGCCAAGAATATAAAGCTGATAGACTCAGTGTTTAAAACTTTCTATTTTCGCGAAATCAGTGAGACGTTTTATAACAATAATCTTTATTTTCTTTATTTTGTTGTGTCCACAAACAGCACATAGCCTAAATAGTGGTGCACAGTTCGTCATTGGAAATTAAACACCGACAGCCACATATATTCAATACAACACACAAATGATCGACTCCTGTGAACGTCGAAAAGCTGTTGCGTCACTAAAAATGTCTATAGCAGATTGGTCAAGCCTGTTAAATTCCAGCTGCATTCTTGTGAAGGGAGACGTATCACATAAAGTCTGGGGGTAGAGCGGCCTCTAAAACCGACTAGACCGCATGGCAACATGGAAACACAGAATACTTAACAAAAGCGATGAATCAACACTTCCGTTCATAACCTTATGGAAAAACATAAATCATGTGAAAGCCTTTTATCAAGCAAGATGAGCGACCCTAGTTTCTTAAGTAGTACATTATAGTTGTAGTAACAGTTGCGCCCGAAATGCCTGCCATAGATTATGCCTGTGAAGCGTCTTTGAACACGCTCTATAGAGCATGACGCAGTGTGGTTGATACAATTCCAAACAATTGAAGCAGACTCCAGCTTTGCACGCACTAAGCAGCAAAACGAATGGACGAGACAATCAGGGCAAGAAAATTGCCTCGTAAAACAAAATATCACCCCAAGATTCCTAAGCGAGGCATTACATATACAGAATCCTGATTACTAAAATTTAAAGATGAATCAACAAAAATTCCAAGATCACGAATGACGAACACTCGGGAGATGACACTGCTCTCTATTGTGTAAGGGAACACAAGTGAATCTCGCTTTCCAGACAGGAACGTTATTTTTGTCTTTTGCTCATTAAGCAAAAAATGGTTCATAGAACACCACCTTGTAAGTGCCAACGCGTCGTTCTCAAGTTTGCACCTCGAGTACGAACGAACACAGCGAAAATGTTTGATGTCGTCGGCAAATAGTAATACTTCAGAGTTTTTCACGCTATGAGAGATGTCGTTCACAAAAATCAAGAATAAAAGTGGACCAAGTTTGCTTCCTTGGGACACTCCGGAAGGCGACAAAAATTTATCAGACATAAGCCCTGACACACGAACATAATTTTCATGACATGAGAGATAACTTTTAAACCAATGGCAGTATGTTGAACACAAACCATAACTATCAAATTTGGTAAGAAGAATATTGTGATCAACCTTATCGAAGGCCTTCGTTATATCAAAATATATTGCATCGACTTGTGCATGGTCACGAACAAATGAAACAGTATAATCTAAAAAAAGAGCACAGATTAGATTGAACCGACTTGCCCTTCGAAAATCCGTGTTGCTCGGGGCTTATTTTTAGGCTGAAGTTGAAGCTGAACATGGACAGCCTTGTAGGATTATGAACAAGTTGTTTATTTTTTTGTTCATTATACCTGTATTTTACGAAGGTTTAATATGTTATGCTAACCTATTTATTCGGTCATATAAGGGTATCATATCGTCGAAACGTTGTGCAGAGATGAACCTATGTTGTTGTGTCTTCGTTTTGCTCTATTGTTATCATGGACAGGGTTTTCACAGTCAGAAATCATAAATCAGCAAGATCATAAAAAAATTTTATTTAAAAAAAAACAACAAAAAACGTTGTTTTAAAACTAGGTTGGTTATAGCATTGTATCAACCAGTAGAAATTCGCTCTTATGAGACGTCAAATGGCGTGCTGAAATCGAAGTCATTAAACGAAGTACACGATCGCTTACCGAGCACAGCCAAAGCGAACACGACAGCAAGGGAACGCGAAGAAGGAAAAGTAACATCACCGCAGTAAGCGGTACCGCAGAAAGGGTTCAGGCTGCCATTCTGGCGCGGTTACGGCTTCCCGGCGCTCGCGTGACTGATGTGCCTGGGGTAAAAGAAGGACGCAGTCGTTGGGGTTAGAACGCGAGCGCTTTAATTTTAATGCGCGCCAAATAACAGAGTGCCGGCCAACCCGGAGGGGCGCGACGATGTTTTGGGGGCGATAAGGAAAGGCGCGTCCGCGCGCACTGGGTCCTAATCTCATTAGCGCTATTTATGCAAATGAGTCACCCAGGGTGGAGCATCTGTCGCTGTTACAACGCGGATAGAAACCCGAAATTCCGGCGGGTAGGGTTTATCAGTCCCGGTATTTGACGGTGGAGAATCTCGGCCGCGTCAGTTCGCGGGTTAGAACTGAAGTTAGTATCACGGATCAGGGTTTATGGAATTCTCTGCCCTTGTGCTGAATCGTGTTGAAAAGCTGCTCGCAGGAGCCACTTGGATCATCTGTAGACCAGATTCGTCACCTTACGTACGAGGCGGGTTTTAGAGTGCTAGCTTCAAATGGGAACCTTACGTGTAACTGGATTGCTTGTGTTGGTATGTGTTTCGCTGTAGCATGGCCCCCTTGGGAGTGTCTGTAACGAAGCCCAGCTTTTGGCTTGGCGTCAAAGCTGCCGAAACGAATGGCGTTGAGCCGCTCGGAGTATGGATGTTTGTGTGCTTGTTTATGTCTGTAGGGGGGGGGAGGGGGGTAACAGTGTTCTTACACTTCCGTCTCCTCCTCCCACCTCCACGTGGGAACTGGGGCTTCATCATAGGGAAGGGGGGGGGGGGGGGGAAGGATAGCGTATTAGTAATCTCTTAGGCGCCGAGGCATTGTAAAGTGATGCTCGTGTAAAAAGCAAATTATCCCTCTTTCATTTTACAATGCGAAGCTGCACGATTTCCTAATGGCGCACTCTTCGCCAATGTATGAACTATTTAATTTATTGAAACAGCTTGTGCCTTATCGTGTGATTCTATTTATTACGAGGAAACATCTGCTTTGAGAGAAACAAGAAAATTTTTCAGTGAGTAGTCGAAAGCTTGCAGAGATAATTTTACTCGGATAACCACGAAGTTGCAACAAAACGTAGCCCACAGCCGGCACCTTAGTGCCTTTGAGCTCGTGAGTCTTGGTCATCAACCTGTTCGTAAAAAGCAGAAGCGCTATTTGCGTTTAAATATATACCAGCTACTGTCACCGTCACCATACTGACTGGTCGTTAGATGGAAGCACGTGTATGTGATTGGAAACCCGCAATCGTTAACAACCCTTGCAGCAGGTGTCACAAATAGAGATGTCATGGCAAACATTCTGCTTCATGTGGAATGGTCGATAAAAAGTTAATGAGAGGGAAAAAAATAACTATATTTATATGAAATAAGCGAATAAATATATGCAAATTACCTCGTCGCTAATAGTAAACCTACAAAAAAAGAGCTAAATATATGCTGTTTTTAGGAGGATTCATTTCATTTTACTGCGAAATTTCTGATTGTCCGGATGATGATTTGTTTTTCCTTTGCTGGACAAGGTTTCGAAATGTTGATTACAATAAAGGGGGGGGGGGGGGGGGGCGGGGGCAATCGACGGTTAATATTCGGAACTGCAACGCCCTATAGACCATGGGGTGGTAGTTCCAAGATGGCGAAAGTGACGGGGATAGATCCTCCAGGATTTCCCGTGCGCCTTCTCGCTGATGCTGGTCACTGCGCTAAAACAATTTATTTGTCGAAAGATGCGAAGCCAACAGAACAGGAGCGTATTACTGTTGACGGAGATGTCAATGTGCGCTAGGAAAACGAGCATGCTGATATTTGAAAGTCGCAGAAACCTCAAGTTGCGAAGCTTTGTGGAGGGCGAGCGCGTTGTGGGTGCCGGCCACGTCACTGTTTGTCGCACAATGTTTTTTAGGGTGACGAAGAATGGTGTTTGCGCTTTGTTTGGTCATTAGCGCTTTAAAAAGTGAGCCGCGCACGGTGACCGTCAAGCGCCGGAAGAGCAGCGTTCGCAGTATTGATGTTGTCGCGACACAGGCTCACAACTCGATGCTCATCGTCACGGTTTTGGTGAATTCCAACGCGTGATTAAACTGCGCTATAGTTATTGATAGGAAGTTTTAGGATAGCGTGATCTCAGGCTACCATACGGTGAAGAATTGCAACCCGAAGCTCTCGTTGAACCTCTGAAGCATAATTTTCGACGCGCGCCAGCTGCTTTGCCTACACACGGTAGCCTGCGGTAACGCTATACCAAGAACTGCCAATTACCATCATCGGCGTGCTTAGGCTATATATTTATTGCTCCATCAAAAATAAATCTTTTAACATACCCTACATTGGTTTACCGTGATATTTGCAACGCTGCGTCCGCCTCGCCAAAACTGCCCGTTCTAAGCTCGCGTTATGAACGGCAGGCTTAAAAGGACGTGCTTAAAAAGCTTGGTGAATTTCCTGATTTCCTTTTGGAGCAAACGGTGGCGCTCCTTGTAACGGTCCTAAAACGCGAACCCATTCCCAAAGTCTATTGATGGACATACCCGTTGCGCGACCAGTTTTCTCCTACTTAGGGCAAATAATAGGCATTCCGTAGACCGTACGGTAGAGCTCTAGACTGCTAGAAGGGAGAGTTTGCAGTCACGTTGAGCGCAGATTGAATTAGCGACCAGAATACAAAAAAATCTGTAGGCAATCGTACATACGAAACGTCCCTAATTCAATTAGACATCTAGATCCCTTCGTGCAACGCCGCTGCGAGGAGCATTTCAGTAATTCCTATTTTAAAGCGCTCAATTTTTTCGTTAAAACTGTTTCGCGCACGGACATGCCGACCAGAACCACGCAATAATAGCAGTACCAAGGCACCAAGGCCGACTGTTCCCGCCACCGTCTCCGCGCTGCCACCGCCGCCGTCAACGCTCCTCTGGTTCTTCGTTCGTCCGCGAGAGGGCGAGCGACAGGCTGGAGTTGCGAATATACCCTTTCACAAGGGCGCCGACATCTAGAAATTTCGCCACTTCCAGTATGGGCATTGTTTTGCCGTCGCCACGCCAATAGAAGACATTTAGGACATAAGCGCAACCGTCAAACATACTCGTTTTGCCTCCCATTTATTTTACAGCGGAGCTGCTACGGGTTAGTTTCCCCAGGATCGTGTCCCCCCCCCCCCCAATCCCCCCCACCCCCAAAAAAAGAATTGCCGACACAAAACTCTGGACAGCTACAGCCATCTATGAGCGACGGCGGCAACCAGACAATCGGCTTGCCGGCCTTACTCATATATGGTGACAACCCTTCCCGCCTTTCCACTCTGGTTTTCACCAGAGTGGGAAGGCTTGAGGTTCTTTGAGAGGTTGTCCTCGAGGTCGTCCGAAAAGTTGTCCTTGAGGTCGTCCTAGACGTCGTCCTTGAGGTTGTCCTCGAGGTTGTCCTCGAGGTCGTCCTAA